GATCTACTACAAGGGGTCCCATAGATTTCTGAGGTCTCCTCACTGACACTCATGTTCATGGGGTCTGGATCAGTACCATGCTAGTTTCCCATTTATCAGTCTGGGGACCAAGAGCTCTCCCTTGTTCAGGTCAGCTGTTTCTGTGGTTTTTACCAGCCTGGTCTGGACCCCTTTGCTCATCAGTCCTTCTCTGCAACTGGGGCTTAGCTAAATTTTAAAATGTATTGAAAATGTAATCTTTCATATATACTGTTATGATAATCAGCTGCCTTGTTGCATTAATATACATAAAATAAATGCATTTTGATAACTTTCAATGGTTACATATGTTAACAAGACAAAAATATTAAAATTAAGCTATTAATATTTTGCCAAAATTAGTATACAACATGGCATTAAGGGGCTGGAGAGATGGCTCAGAGGTTAAGAGCACTGACTGCTCTTCCAGAGGTCCTGAGTTCAATTCCCAGCAACCACATGGTGGCTCACAACCATCCGTTATGAGATCTGGTGGCTTCTTCTGCTGTGAAGATATACATGAAAGCAGAATGTTGTATACATAATAAATAAATAAAATCTTTTTAAAAAAACATGGCATTAAACATGACAAATTAGTACAAAGTAAAATTTTATTTGAAGTATATTGCTTCCTGTAATCAAAATCATATGCATCAAACCCTACAGATTTAATAAAACATGTTACCCTACACAAATGGAAAAATTTAGTTTAACATTCTATAATAATAGGGCTGTTAATTTTTGTATAAAAAAATAGGAGAGGAGCTAGAGACTGGAGAGATGGCTCAGCAGTTAAGGACATTTGTTCTTCCAGAGCCCAAGTTTGATTCCTGTCAGTAGCAACAACAGAGGAGTTGCAGTCATCAATGGAGCCTATGGTGCCCAGTTCACCAAATAGCAAGGCTACAATGAATAAACAAAGCCCCAGGAGGATTGTCTCCAGAATGCCCTTGCTATAGCTGTGCTTCCTCCTGCTTGATGCTGCCATGTTCCTGCTGTATTGGGCATGGTGAGATTACTATGTGAAAGGATCCCACTGTATCGAGTATAGTGTGATTGTTTCTTGGGAAAATCCCACTCCTCTCTGGGCAATTTACTTGCAGATCATAATGAAGATGATTCTTATAAAAGCAATGATGATTAGTTCAATCTGTGATTTTATTGGACTTTCTAAGTTAGCCTAAAAGATACAGATGGTTAAGACATTAAGATTAGGGAAATGGTTCAGATTATTCTGCCAATTGCTCCAATAAGAGATACAAATATGGTAAAATTAAGCTAGAAGTCACCTTCTCCTTTGTTAGATGTGAGATTTACAAAGGACTGAAAACAAGAACAAGGAAGTTTCATGCATTATAGACCCACAAATTCTGCCTGTGGAAAAACAGGCTGATTGAAGAAAGCCATTCTGAGTCGGGCAGTGGTGGCACATGCCCTTAATCCCAGCACTCGGGAGGCAGAATAAAATAAAAAAAAAAAGTGAAATTACAATAAAAAAGAATAAAAAAAATATAAATATAAAAATAAAAAAAAATAAAAAAAAAAAAAAAAAAAAAAAAAAAAAAAAAAAAAGAAAAAAGAATAAAGTCATAAAGTCATTCTGTCTCTACACCCAAGGGACTGAGTTCCTTTGTCAAATAGCTTACAGAATTAATCACAGGTCTCAATATGCACCTCAAAAAAAAAAGCAAAAAAACCCAAAGTTGTGAAAGGAAATTAAATGACCCTATTGTGTGTAAAGAAAAAGTGATGATGTTAGCTAGACCACATGAGTAAAATTGTAGGAATCTACTACACTGAAACCTCAAACAGCTGCCTGCCAGTACAAAAATAACTGGCTAAAATATACTCAGCATGCTTAAAACATTGTTAATCAATTATAAAAGAATCATTGCTTTGGGGTGAAGATGTTAAGGTGGGAAAATTAATACAAAAGAAATATTTAACTACTTGTGGCTTCTAAAGAAAGCATGTAACTTTTGATCATAATGTAATTTCTCCTGTGTAAAGATTTTAATTTGTTTTTGGGAAATATGTAACTTGTGGTTGTGAGATAATCTTTTCTTGCATAGAAATATTTATCTTAGGGGGTATAAAAGGGATAAGAGAAAAATAAGAAGAATGAGAAGAAAACAACAGGGTGAGAGAACAGAACAGAGTACAACAAGCAGCAGAAAGAGAATAATAAAATGAAGAATTAAGTTTTGACCCTCAGATAAAGTCCCCATGTATGTATGGTATGTATGTATGTATGTATGTATGTATGTATGTATGTCCAGTAGTTCATCGACTCCATGCCTCCTCTCCAGTTTCCCTGACCTGCTGAAAGGTGGTTCTCTTGGCAGATTTCCAACATCCACAGGGTGGCTCACAACCATCTGTAGCTCCAGTTCCAGGGGATCCAATACCCTTTTCTGATATGAGCATCAGATAAGCACATGGTACACAGACATACATGCAAGCAAAACACCATACACATAAAACAAAATAAATAAATATAAATTTTTAAGTAGAATGCTTTATAAATACTTCTTTAGTATCTTTGTACATTTTTTAAAATGATAGAAGTATTTCTAAGTTCATTTCTGGTTCTACTGTAAAAAATAGTAGCCTAACTTATGGGTAAAATGTGTTGAAAATATCTTTATTTTTACTTCCTCCTCTAAAGCTATAGCAAAATTGAAAAAGAAAACTTTAATGCCAACAAGAGACTATAGAGACCAATTGCAAAAAAGTCAGAACAGAGAGTAGCCTGAGAAAGTAAAGTTTCTTACTTAATTATACCACTGCAAGATGGAATGAAATAATATTATAAATTCATTAGCAATTAATGTTTGTTTTGTTATTGATAAAATATTTTCAAATGGGTAATCTTTGAATAATGGACAACACCTAAAGGAAAAGGGCAGGCTCTATTTTAGACTTTTCCAGGGAGCCGTGTACTTCCAGAACTACGATAACTTGCCTAGAAAATCCTCTGTAGAAGACATAAAGACACCCAAGGAAGAGCATATTTAGAAATCTAACCAAGTAGAAACATGAAGCAAAAAAGCCAAAAGACATAATTGTAAGTAGGTACCTATTATAGGCATCTGTCACCCTTTAGATATAAGGTTGTATGCAGCTGAGATTCCTCAGAGGCCTAAGAGAGGAAGACATCCATCATGAGCATGGCAGAAAAGCAGAATCAGGAAAAACACCTTATGTATGTGACTTCAAGATCCAGGCAGGAAATCCACTCAGTTCCTGGAGGGGGCAATAAAGGTGAACACCAAAGTTTCAGACACAGAAGTCTGCATCTACACTTAACAGATTTTGCCACCTCATAAAAGGCATAAATAAGTAAATGAGACTCAAGTCTGGACTTGGGCAGTAATTAAGTAAAGCTGTGTTGCTTTACGTAGTCAAAGAAGTTCTCCACTTTGAATCAGGTGTGGAAGCACATACCTGTTATCTCAGCACTCAGGAAGCTGAGGTAGGAAGATAAAAGAGTTAAGAGCATAGTGAGACTGTCTCAAAAATAAAAGTAAAATAAATACTCTCCATCATATTCCAGAGATATTAATTACCTCACCTAATAGTATTATCATTGTGAATGTATTTTGCTTATCATACCAATGTTAATAAAATTAACATACTGGGAAACAAGGAAGCAAAAATGTATTTTATTTAAGTACTCAACCTATTACATCATCAGATTTTAAGCACTGAGTAGAAAGAAAAATAATTTACCTCAAAATGTACACGTCTATTTTAAAAGGGAATCATTATACTTCTGTCAGTTTCAACTTTAGTTAATACTGAATCATAAATATATCAGTAACTCAAAGCTTCTACTTTGTAATGTGAAATTCATCTAGAAATTGATTTTGCAATTTATTTAAAATATTAGTATGATCTTGGAGTTGTTTCTGGTGGAAGCGGCATCCAGGCTTGGTGTCAATGGGTTTCTCCACAGAACTGCTTTCTTATTTGATACCTAGCCTAGTTTCTACAGAGAAACAGGCAGATGGCTATGGTAGTTCCCTGCAAGCTTTACAGAAGGCAGGGAAAACATCCACAAAGAGACAAGAATGAAACTCAGCTCAGCCCAATGTTATTGGAACCAGCTCTGGACCAGAATTTCTAGAGTCTGGCCCAGATCATTTTACTTCAGCCATATTTAAGCATAGCACAATTTTTTGTAGGGGTGGCATTTCTGATAACAATTAACTCAATCCCAAGTGCACAACAATTTAAGACATGTTTACAATGAAATTCTTTACAAAGTACATCTGGCTTCCTTCACAAAGATGGGTATTGCTGACTTAGAGATAGTGCCCAAGATTTAGGGTCTAGGGAGATTGAGGTAAACATAAAGCCTGTGGATATCAGGATTTGCCTGACCCTAAGACAACACAGAAGTCACTGAGGCAATTGTAAAGTACAAGTGACATCACTCATTAAGATGGGTTTTATGGTCTGGAAACAATGCTCAAGATTTAGGTGGAAAGGGTCTGAGATAAGTTAAAAACAAATTTGGGGAGATATGGGCAGTGCATGTCTCACCAGACAGCAGAGGATTACCAAGTTGTAAAACTATACCATTCCTGGCATTCCAGGAAGAAGAGCAGCTATGTGCCTCATTTCGTTAAAGAAATAAGCTGTGTGTTTAACTTTGCTGGCTTTTGCAGTGTTTACTTATGTGGGCAAGGCCTTTTTGCTCTCTACAGTGGGATTTACACAGAAAACTGCTAAGCAAGGTCTCTTCCTTGCAGGGAACAAGCCGTCTAAAGAGAATATATTTTTACAGACTTATATTTCAATGACCTTTACAAAATTATGGAAATCATTGTATCCTTTTTGTTAACATTTTATGTCTCCCAAATATGTCCTACTTTACATAGGAAAAAAGCCAGGTGTGATGGTGCAGACCTTTAGTCCCAGCACTCAGGAGGCAGAAGCATGTAGATCTTTGTGAGTTCAATGTCAGGCATGGTCTACATATCAAGTCCCAGACCAACCAGGGCTACACAGTGAGACTCTGTCTAAGAGAGAGGTGGGGGGATGGAGGAAAAAAGAAAAGAAGCTACCCTCTGTTAAAATAGAGAGTGAGAGGGGTATAGCTAACATTAGAGAAGTTTAAAAGCCATATAGAAACCTACTATAAAAGAACTTAATTGGAGTTGCTTTATAGAGTACATAAAGTACTCTATAAGTCCTCCCCAAGCAATAGATTTCCAGATAAAAAGCCCAGTGCTGAATGCTGGATATCTCCCCATCAAGTAGTTAGGGGGAGATCCCCAAAACAATATAGACTACTCCTCCCCCGCCCCCCAATAACATTTAAGGCCCTATTTGTGAAAATACCACATACTTTGGACACAGGACATGGAGAAATCAAATTGGTATTGACCAAAACAAACTTCCTTCTGCTGGCTAGCTTTCATAATACCAGAAAATTCTATGCAAGCTACTTGGTGAGAAAAATCATCTACATTCTTACCCACGTGTGAACTCTGTGAGATATAATTTATAACAACCAGAGTATCAAGATACATGCATGAGTGCAATCGGGCATAAATGTTTTGGCTTGTCCCAAACATTTAGGTATAAGGCCCACTCCACAGGAAAAAACACACCTGGTACTGTAAATCTGCCCAAGAACCCTGACTGGGGTGCTCATAGGCCCCATGGGTAAGCAAAGTGCTATTATTTTTATTAAATGGACATAATATCAAACTGTCACTTAAATTCATTTCTCTATAACCATGGATTAGCATAGCTCTCAGACCTCATCAGAGAAATTTCTTTACATAGTGGAGAGTGGTTACCGCAGAAACTCACACTAGACTAAGTAAAGAAGAATTGTCTGTGGAATGTTCACCCACAAATGTTACATGTATAAACACACACACACACACACACACAC